ACATCTCTAAATTTCATCTCATTAGGATTCCACCACTCTAATTCAATTAAATTGGCATCTTAATTACTGTAAGTTGACTTTTCGAAAACTTATATATTTTAGATTTATTGATGCATTTTTAAAAACATTAATTGATAATGTTTTTGAAAGAGTAAAAACCAGATGGACAAAGAATATAGAAATTTAATCTTGATGAAATAAAAAGAGAGTTATGAAATGAATGTTTATAAAATATTGAAAATACTTTAGATAGGAAAGGAAATTAGTAATTTTTCTGAATATTCAATCTATCAATAATTATTTTTTTAGTTAAAATAATCCGCTTTTATTTGATATAATCTGAAAATCAATAGATTTAACAATATTTTGATAATAAAATACATTTATGAATGATTCAAGAGATATAATGTAATATAGTTTTGTTTAATTAATATCAAACTACTATATATATATTTTATTCTATTAATCATCTATGCTTTATCTAAATTATTGGCAACTGTGTTCAAATAATTAGAAGATATAATTGCATTCATAAAGAGTACGAGAATATATTAAAATTATTATTGCTCTTTATTTCATTGATTTAAATTATTTAAGCAGTAATTATTTAAATTCACTTTTAATGATTGGAAGTTGTAGATTGTTATTTATTTAGAATAGATTATATTTCTATTTCTTATGATATAACCTATCCTATATTAGGTGTTGAATTAGCATAAATTGGATCCATTACCAAACTAAGTTGAAATATATATTCTCATTCTATTGATCACATAAATAGAATTCTTGTATGAATATAACTTACTTTTCTGTGATGTTTTATATTAAACATTAGATTATTAATATAACTAAGAACAACCTATTAATATCATATGAATTTCACAAAACTATCTGTATTATAATTAATTAGAGAAAAAAAATAATTATATGGAATTATTATTTTGTACTATCTTGAATTTAAGTAATATTAGTGAGTTTCTTAAATATATTTAAAGNGGTTATGTCCATAAACCTTATTTTAATCCATCTACATAGTAGCCACCTACAATTAGAAGAGATTTATTCCATGTTGCTATCCATTTACCTAATTTTCTTTTGTTCTTTCCATATTCACCTAACCATTCAAGGTATTAGATTTATTCAATGTTATGCAAAATTTCTGATTTATTTGGATTATCATAAATTTATTCCCTTTAAAAACTAAAATAAGATGATCTACTTTCTCAAAATTATGCCTTCCTATGATGAATAAATGATGTTATTTTCTTAAGTAATTGTGATGTGAATTTAAACATCTCTAAATTTCATCTCATTAGGATTCCACCACTCTAATTCAATTAAATTGGCATCTTAATTACTGTAAGTTGACTTTTCGAAAACTTATATATTTTAGATTTATTGATGCATTTTTAAAAACATTAATTGATAATGTTTTTGAAAGAGTAAAAACCAGATGGACAAAGAATATAGAAATTTAATCTTGATGAAATAAAAAGAGAGTTATGAAATGAATGTTTATAAAATATTGAAAATACTTTAGATAGGAAAGGAAATTAGTAATTTTTCTGAATATTCAATCTATCAATAATTATTTTTTTAGTTAAAATAATCCGCTTTTATTTGATATAATCTGAAAATCAATAGATTTAACAATATTTTGATAATAAAATACATTTATGAATGATTCAAGAGATATAATGTAATATAGTTTTGTTTAATTAATATCAAACTACTATATATATATTTTATTCTATTAATCATCTATGCTTTATCTAAATTATTGGCAACTGTGTTCAAATAATTAGAAGATATAATTGCATTCATAAAGAGTACGAGAATATATTAAAATTATTATTGCTCTTTATTTCATTGATTTAAATTATTTAAGCAGTAATTATTTAAATTCACTTTTAATGATTGGAAGTTGTAGATTGTTATTTATTTAGAATAGATTATATTTCTATTTCTTATGATATAACCTATCCTATATTAGGTGTTGAATTAGCATAAATTGGATCCATTACCAAACTAAGTTGAAATATATATTCTCATTCTATTGATCACATAAATAGAATTCTTGTATGAATATAACTTACTTTTCTGTGATGTTTTATATTAAACATTAGATTATTAATATAACTAAGAACAACCTATTAATATCATATGAATTTCACAAAACTATCTGTATTATAATTAATTAGAGAAAAAAAATAATTATATGGAATTATTATTTTGTACTATCTTGAATTTAAGTAATATTAGTGAGTTTCTTAAATATATTTAAAGTTGATAAGTAAGATTTAAATATTAAATTGCAACTGATAGACAATTAAACCCTAATCATTTTAATTTACAATATCAATAAAGTGGGAGGTCTAATGTATACTAAAAATTGAATTTCATGTTTAATTCTACTTATTCCATCAAAAGACCTTATTTTTAGTGGGTTGTATTATTAAAAAATAAATTTTTTGTCTCTTCCATCAGCATAGCCATCATTACTAATGATGAATATAGATCTACAGTTTTTAAATTATCAATTAATCAAAAAGATACTAGATTACTCTCTTGTGGTAGTGATTTTTAAATTTGAGTTATGGAAGGCTCTAATAACACCAAAAGGAATATAATTTAAAAATATCCCTTAAACAACAAAATATAGATTATGTTCTATATATATCATATTTTTGCACTTATAGAATAAATAGTTCTTCAATTTTATGTTCAGGATATTCATATTTATATTTATATTTATAATACCCAAAAAGAATAATATTTAAATCGAAAGTTGTATTAGTTTAAGGTGGAGGGTAACCCTTATGTTTCTTAATTATACCTTGACTCGATCAAATCTGATTTTGAGAATATGCAATAAAACTTTGGTATTATCAGATCGATTATGATAATAAGCATTAATTGAAAATTTAATCATATTTTTTAAGCTGTTATCTTAAACCTATATTTAGAATTGACAGTAAAATGAATACTAAAAAAGAGTTATTATAATGGAGAATTTTTAATAGCATAGGATTAAAAGAAAATAATATCTAAATCTTAGTCGAAAAAGGACAATAAAAACTTGAATATTTATAAACTTAAACTTTATTTGTGATTTATTCTCAGTTAATGATGGAATGATAAATAATATTTTAATATTGGTCTAAATAAGTTACGAATTTCCTATTCTTTGAGCTTTATGATTTCCTCATATTCTTTTTCCTTTTCTTGTTAATCATTATTGAATTTTATTAATATTACTAATTGTCCTTATTTTTTAGCATTCAATAATTTTTTCTTTTCTTAGCTTCTCTTGAAACAATTTTCGAAACTAATGGCAGTAAATCAATTTTTGTCAAATCCATATGGTGGAAAGGAAGGAGCATTATACATTCTATAATAAATATTTATCAGGATCGTTATTAATTCAAAAAAATTGGGAAGTTATTTTCATCATCTTAGTTGAAATGAATCTCAAAATTCCCCAACATATGGAATTTTGAAGTTTGTGTTTCTATTCACGAGAAACTCTCACTAAATTTCATCCTCTTTTCTGATCAAAACTTACGATATAATCAGAGTTTTAAAGCAAGGTTTCCAAATAATATGATTCTAAAAAAGATTTTAAGACTACACTCAAGAAAATTGTTTATAAAAGGAGGAACGCCAATTATTCATAGAAAATATTAATGATCAATTCAATCAAAGATTAATTAGCTTATCAAAATTCTTTTCAGAATTTAATCTAATGGATTATTCTTTACTTATTATTAAAATGAATTGGTCAATTCTTAAAGTAGCCTTTAAAAAAAGTATAAATAATTTTTTTTGATTTCCAAATTATTTAACCATAATTAAGTTGTATAACATCGATAAAGGAAAAAGAGTGTTACTCACCAAAAAAAGCCATCAATATAAAATAGATCTAGATACTTCAGCTTAAAATCCTTGAGAGTATACAATAAGATTTCATTGAAAAAATTTTTAATACTATTATATGAGATAATTATAAAATTAAAATAATAATTCCATATTTCAGTTCATTGAAATGATTATTTCAAGATTCTCTTTCTTTTTTATTATTTGAATAATATTGTTATTATGAGGCTTGTTATTTAAGAAATCTATAATTGAACACTCTTTTTAATAATTATTAATTAAAAAATTTAACCTCCTCCTAAACAATTAGTCAAATAAAATAGATTTACAAATTTTTTAAATTAGATTTAACTTTTTTTACAAATAAATTTCTATTTAAACATATTTATATAAATTTACTAAGAAGGTAGAATATAAAAATAATTGAAATAAAAAAAATAAATGTGTTTAACACTTAGTATAAATTTTTCAGGATTACATTTTGATAAGTCATAGATTGAATATTATTTTTCATAACTCGATTCTGGCTGGGAAGTGATAACAATTAATAATATATTATTTTTGAATAATTTCAAATACTTAGACAAAAAAAATAAGAGTAGAACTTAATTCTAAAATTCATAAATTACTATTTTGAATCTTGTAAAAGAAAATCATCTTAAAATATTATCAAAATAAAAATTGATAATTAGAGTAGAATTTACACAAAATAATGTGATATTTGTGATATGATCTCTAATTTCACAACTTTTATCGAAAAGTATCGATAATAATATTATAAACAGACTGTGTAATGAGGAATATTTTTAATTGATTACAATACTAAATAGAAAGCCTTCCAATCAAACTCCTGCACATTAACCTAAAGAAGTAGGTTCCTTAAAAGAATGATGAATACAATGGATATATTAATAAACATATTTTAAATGTAGCATCCTATGAATTCAAAAACCATTAACGAAATATACAATTTAAGACATAGACATCATCTAAATTCATGGAAATATTATTGGTGATAAATAAAGTAATATATATTCATTGATTTCAAAATAGTATAAAATGGAGTTTAGGGATAATAGTAATAAAAATTTCTTAATAAATTAAATATGATACCATTTCAAACATCAATTAAGGAGTTCCATAGCTAATTTCTTTAAAAATATTCTAAATTCTTTATTTGTCCTAGGCATTGGATTATAATCCTCAATAATTAAACAACACAATAGGTATTAAGCTTAGCACCTATGAATCCAATTATAATCTTATAATGATTTATAATTACATTTCACCATCATGTTTAAAATCATTAATCCTAATATGCATTTCATTAAAACTTAAAGTTTCTAATTCACTTCAAACAACCGAGATTATTATTAAAATAAGGAAAATTAAGATTTAGTGGAATTACATCATAAATAATATTATTAAGCGCTGTCTAATTAAAGTTTAATTAATTTAATGTATTAACAATTACAATTAATATTTACTTCTGCTATCTTATTTCAAAGTATAAACCATAAAATTAAATCCTATTAAAACAAAACATTCATGCCTCTGATTCAAATTTATATCAATAGTAAATTATTTTACTAAAATTGATTATATACAAAAGAGGATTATCAGTTGTTTGTTGAATTAATTCGAAAATTTCCAAAAAATCTTTCAAAGACTTCTAATGCTTTAGTTTTAATGATTTTTCTACTTGAAACATAAATCTTTCATTTTCCTACTCTTATATTGTACAACATTAATATTGTATACCTTATTTATAAAATAATTTTTAGAATTTAAGTAGTTGTTTACATCTCGGCCAACGACCTGTGTATGATGATACGAAATTTAACACCTTTTTCTAAGATCACAGTTTGTCTAAATGATCGTTAAAATTTGGCCTAATCCCCATTCTCTTTCTAATATTAAGTGATCAATTATAAATTTCTAAAGGATCATTATATCTAATCCCCCAATGATCAAAAACTCATTCAAAAAAGGCTAAATAATTAGTTAAAACCTATAGATTCAGCTACTCATCTGAATTAAATAATTTATTTTCAAAAATTCTTCTTCTACATTTTTGACTTCTACTCTGGACCTACAAAACGATAACTTTTTTCTACACATCCCCTACCTGTAATTACACACATACATTCAAATACTTATAACATTGATTAGTTATTATATGAGTAATAGGAGCAATTTCACATTTTTTTATTAACCAATAAATTTGTAACATTCTTGCCCTGAACTTTCATAGAGAATACATTCCTCTAAAGGACTCTCTGTACATCCCTATATTGTTGTGACGCAACAAGCCTAAATTTAGAGCATATCTAATCAGTAGTCAATCCTATTCCTGCTTCACTACACAATTCATCCATACATTTAGAATTTCCAGAATCCCATTTGCAATGACCAGATATCCTTATAATGTATATCTGAAGGAGATGAATGAGTAGATGCAAAAGATGCGAAGAATATTGGGTTTAGGATATTTGTGAAAATTAAGGAAGTTCGAGTGATAAATGATGTAAATTAACTAAAAATATTTGGAAAAATTTTGTGCAGGATTGAATATACCCTTGCAATAATCATCTTATTTATTACCCTGAATCAAACCTTTATCAATACATACTAACTCCGTACTCTCCTTATTCGTACTCGAAATACAATTCCATATTCATAATCCTATTTTCTAATAAGTTTTGAGCATACTGATGATTAATCCAATTTCAAAACCCTAAAGCCAAACTATTCTTAATTAACAAAAAGCCATGAGAGTCATTTATAGTTTATGATTACTTATTTAATCTTTAATCATCTTCAATAATAAGATTTTGAGATATTCTCCTTCTCTAAATATTAAAAAACATTTGCTAGGAAAAAGATTTTAATTAGAAGCGGACTTCAAATAAATTAGAAAATACAACAAAAAGGATTTATAAATATTTTAATAATACACAACTAATCCTATTTTCTTTAATTAACTAATGTGATAATTTTTTTTAATTAAAATAATCATTTAACTTAGTGAAAATATTAACTATACTATTGATAAAGTATGGAGGATTAGTAATTTTACACAAGGTTAGTAAATAACAACTTTATTTAATGCTTGAGTTTAGAATGAAGTTAGTTTCGAATTACAATTTTATAGTCTTAATGTAGTACTTAATGCATATTAGGAAAGTAACCAACTTTTTGTCCAAAGAATTCTGCTGTAGAAAGAGGATTTAACCTTTTTAATCCTTTGTTTACAATAAAACAAAAAAGGCCCTTTGTATATTCATGAGTATTTATGTGCATCTTCTGCATGATATGATCCCTTATTACTTCTAACATTTAATTGGT